AATATGACTTAGTGAAATAGACTTTGCTTAGGCTTGACAAACCATGTGTTTTTAAAAGTCTTCAAGGGGCCATTCATGTGATTGCACTTCACCACCAAAGGTTGGTAAAGAATTCTATAACATGTTGCTAGGTCAGGGATTTAAACAATGGGGGCCCAGTGACTCCACAGGGTATGGTCAGGTATAAAAACAAGGGTTAAATCACAAAGGACAGCAGTGCAGCTACAACTGAAGAGGGGGAAACATCTCAACCAGAAAAATGTCGATGTCTGACATGAGCAAGGGCAAGGTAAGCTTTAGGATATTTACTAATATAAATGTAATTAGTTTTAGATATGTTAGAGTAAATGTTTCATGTTGTAATAACTTTGCCTCTGTTTAGATCATCTTCTACGAGGACAAGAACTTTCAGGGTCGCTCCTACGAGAGCAGTGGCGACTGTAACAACCTGTCTTCCTTCTTGAGCCGTTGCAACTCTTTCAGGGTTGAGTATGGATTTTTCATGGTCTACGACCGCCCCAACTTCACTGGAAACCAGTATTTCGTCAGAAGGGGAGAATTTGGCGACCACATGAGTACGATGGGATTGAGTGGTGGAATTAGGTCTTGCTGTCAAATCCCCCTGGTAGGTCTAAAGAAAAACCTTTGATAATGAATATCATACCTGTCAAGTCATTCCATATTGTACTGATTGTTTCCTTCCAAACAGTATAGTGGATCCTACAGGATGAGGATCTATGAGAGGGAGAACTTCGGTGGTCAGATGTATGAGATGATGGATGACTGTGACGACATCATGGGTCGCTACCACATGTCCGACTGCATGTCCTGCCACGTGATGGATGGTTACTGGATGATGTACGAGCAGCCCTACTTCAGAGGCAGGATGATGTATCTGAGGCCCGGAGAGTACAGGAGCTTCAGGGAGATGGGATACGGAGGCATGAGGTTCAGGAGCATGAGGAGGATCACGGATATGATGTAAAATCTTTGGAAAAAAAACGAAATAAAATTAAAAGTAAACACAAACTAAGCACGTGTCTCTGTCTTTTAATAAAGAAACTATCACAAAGAATATAACAAACATATAAAACTATTATATTTCCTGAAAGTGGGACAAAATCATTATGCCTACTTTTGTGCTGGACAAAGACCAATTGACCTCAACACAAGATGGCGGAGGATCTATGGTGGGGTCCTGCTGAAAAGCCCAAGGGAATTTTTAGATTTCATTCCTATATTAACTTTTCAAAACTAAGACATTTACATGAAGTCTTGTGGAATAGACCAATGCACTGTTAAATGGATTGTCATCCAAATTTCCATAATAGTAATATGCGTTTCTGTTAGAA